ACGATCTCGCTCAACTCCGGTACCCACTCACTTTCGCGCGGCCGAATCTCTCGATGGCGCTCCTCCAGAAGGCTGTGGCGGAGTATCATTATAGTATTTAATGTGCTCTTTAATATGGTAGTAAAAATGTCCGATAAAAATTTAATAAAGTGTAACTTATAGCGCCTTGAAAGTCATGGAGGCAAAATGACTTTTTTTGGCCCCCCTGTATGCATTTGAATATAAATGCCAGTCATATGCGTCGCTTATCCCATTGACCAGGGCCACCCACTCTGATATTCTAACTTTCAAACGATTGGTAAAGTAAGTATGAAAATGGAGTTTTCCCGATTCCACAATCATTCCAGCTAACCGGTACTGTAGCTGTCGACAGTTTAAATGTTCATATGTGTTTTTCGGAGCCTAAAAGACACCGACTGTGCACGAATGGAATGGTAAGTCTTTCCTGGCTTTAGGAAAAATCCAGTTAATTGGCGGTGTGTTCAGGTGCAATTGTTTCATCGACCGCATCCGAAAAGGACACGAAATTCAAATGGTCAAGCGCTTTTTGATGGGATCAGGTCCGACTTTGAAGTGATTCAGGGTGAGCGCTTACTTACTATTCGAAACAAGAGATCCTCAGCGGTCAAAAATCGGGACGCTGAGCTGGAAGTGTGGGCGTGATACTGTGTGACAGTTTTTGGTAGGTAGCACACGCACCAATCAGAAGTGTGGGTGATCTTGACAGTAGTGCCCCTACGCCGAATACGAATTCGATGGTATTTATTTACTGGTATTCCACAACCTTACTGAGAACTTTTTAGACTTTCACGTGGAATCAGGCCCACCACAAGTTGCTCCCATGACTCTTCTTGAAACATATCGCTCTAAAATCAAGGTAATTTTTTTTCTTCTTTTCTCCGAAATAGCGAAGTACTCACCATTGGGGTACGGTCCACATGAAAAAGTATAGAGTCAGGCTTACCACTGTGCCCTTGTGTACCTCTTCATCTCAAGGCGTCAAAGAAGAGAGACGGGCTAATAGCGCAATCATGGTCCTCACCCCCTCCCCTTCCGATGTCTCCCACAGCGACAATTACTTGAACTTTCACCCCCTTCTTCAACACTTTGATTGGCTTCGTTATCGCATCTTTCTACAACACTGTGCCCCAGGGCACATGATTGGT